ATTCTTCATTTTCTTGCTGCATTTCTAGTTGCCTTTTGTACCTCTTGTCTTGCTTTTGCTCAACGGCTACAGATACGATTCACTTTTCACTTTGAATGTCCGACATATGCATACACTATTCATTTATGATCAGGCCGAATCCTTTATTTGACAAGAATGGCATTCCGGCATCTCTCCGCCGACACTTCCTTTGGGCGGCAACAACGCGTGCAAACCGCAGGGAAATGCTATTGTGCGTTCGCCAATGGCCGCTTTAGCGCAAATAAACAAAATAATTTCAACGCAATTAAGCGGTTTTACGTAAATTTCACAATTCGGCTCAATTCGGGACGACAAGGACGCGACGCGTGCCCACAGAAAGAACACAATTCCGGAGGGTCTGCATTTCGAATGAAATGAAATTTTCGGCTTGATACAAATAATTTCGGTTGCAGTGGCATGTTTTCGGCGGTGGGCGTGACATGCTGCTGGCGCCGCCGTTTGCATTTGCATTTCCCATTCGCCCATTTCCCATTTTCGCTTCTGCATTTTTGCGTTCTACAGCATTTGTCGTCTGCGTTTCCGGCCGGCCATGTCGTTCCGTGCGCGTTCATCCCGAGCACAATTGGCCATTCGGTGGAAATGGTTGCGGCGGTCGAGGAGCCTGCATATGCACAGCATATAAATCAAAGTCAAAAACGGCTCGACATGATTCACAAATGATCCAACCGCCGCCATATGAAAGTCTTATAAATCAAAGTCCTATTCTGAGTACGACTGCCCAGGCTCGGCGGCCGCGTGGTGGCTGCCTCTGGATGCGGTTGACCTTATGACTTTGCCTAGCTGGTGGCCAAATGCTCACACGCTGCGAACAGATGCTGCAGCCTCTACGGATAGTCCGACGACTCGGCGGATCCCATTGCGTATACGCAGTGGCTGATGGGGGGGAGATTAGACTTCTGGCATTAAATATGTATACGTAGTATTTTGGATAAATTTTTGGAGGGTTGCTTATAGCCGATCGCATGCACACACTCGCACGAAGGAAACTTCTGTTGCAGCTCGGCAGCCACAGCCGGATACTGTGTGCCCCATCCCCACGTGGTCTCACATGATTTATGTAAATTGAAAATGACCTTAGACCCAGCCACACACACACACACACACACACACGCTGTCCTGTCCATTTACAATGTTGCGGCCATCTCCATGTGTGCATCTGTGTGAGCATTTTTCGCCTCTTGTTGACTTGATTGTGGCAGCTGCTTGCCGCTTAGCTAGCCCCACAGCCCCGTCCACATCTCCTTGCACTTGTTGTGGCTGCTACTATTGCTGTTCTTGTCGGTGGCGCCATACATTTTGCATCATAAAGTATTTTAGCGCCATTATTTCATGAAATTCACATTTATTTTGCAGCTGCTCATAGCAAAAAGCTGTCTGCCACCGCCATCTGCCCTGCCCTGTCCTGCCCTGCTCCTGCTCATGGTCCTGCTCCAGGTCCCTTCGCTTATCCATGCTTATGCTCGTAGCTGGTGGCTAGCATAAACACATTTTTTCTATTCACATATAAAAATGAAATTATTTCTGAATATCCTTCATGTCGTTAGGGAGTTGGATAAAAAAGTCCAGTAATAACCATCCGCGTGATTTGGAAACAAATGCATTTTGTTTCATTAATTAAAAGCGCCCTTTTATCTCAATACGATACGTTTAGTAACTTTAATTGTGATAATCTGCAAGAAAACAATGATAACAAAGAACTGTTCGTGGCATAACACTAAATTTTTCAACTAATTGTTTTATATATTTTATACTTTACCTTATTTAAAAGTTGCAGAAACAATAGAAACAAGTGTTTTTGTAAAGCACATTTATTAATTATATTTGAAACATTTTCCCTTAAGCCGAAAATCGTTTCCCATTGCAGTTCAGTTCCCAAATTCAGTTCAGTTCGAATGTGCCGGAGTTTCGTTTGGTTATCGTGGAATAATGGCTCCGATCTGGTGCTAGTTTTATCACAAGAAAAATAATGAACACGAAAGGTAATCTTAAAGAGATGTGCGGAAAACATATACGTATTCCCATCGAGATTCGTTAAGGGCACGAGTCTTAAGTATTGACCTAATACTATAAATGGCATAAAAAAGATCTCTCGGACTGGGACTCACCAGACTTCTACCTTCTTCTCCAACCTCAGCCGATCTGTGGTGCCTTATTGTGTCTTATTTTCAGCTCATCCTCTAGGTATTCGTCATGTGCAGACTGTACTGCTGTTCCTCAACCTGACCGTTAACTATATAGTCCGCCTGAGCGTGGGCGTGCGGGTGGTGGCCATGACGGATAAAGCAACCAATAATGAAACTTTTCCGGTACCATAGCATTATGCATGAGGTTGCAGTAACACTTACGATCGTTGTGCAATTGCAGCAATTCGATTGGACAGAGGCCGAGAAGTCCTACATCTTCTCCAGCTTCAACTGGGGCTATTTGCTGATGCAGATTCCGGGCTGCTTCCTTGTCCGGTGTCTGGGGGCCAAGCTGCCCATGATCGTGGCAACCTTTTTCGTGGCCCTGTTCAGTCTTTGCACGCCCATTGGAATTCAGATGGGCGATTGGAAGGGCTTCTGTGCGATTCGGCTGGGCCAGGGCCTGTGTCAGGGCCTGATGCTACCCTGCATCCACGAGCATCTGGCCAAGTGGTCGCCGCCCGAGGAGCTCAAGCAGCTGGGAGTAATCGCCTACTCTGGCACCTACTGCGGAACAATCCTGGCCCTGCTCGGCAGCGGGTACATTGCGGACAGCTCCATCGGCTGGCCGGGAATTTCGTATGTTTCGGCAGCAGCCTGCCTGAGCTGGTGCCTGCTGTGGTTCTTCTGGGGCGAGAACGAGCCCGGAAGCTCGTACTGGATTGGCTCGGACGAGCGGAACTACATTGAGAGCTGTCTGAAAAGTGGCACCGCATGCCCCAGGGAACTCATACCCATACCGTGGCTGGCGATACTCGGGTCGGTGCCGTTTCGTGCCCTGGTGGTGGTCCACTGTGCCCAACGCTGGGCCGACTCCACGATGGAGGTGCAGATACCTTCGTATCTAGATGGCATCCTGCAAGTGAAAATCACCCGGAACGGCCTGATCTCGTCGCTACCCTACATGGTCAAGTGGATCATGTCCCATGTGTATATCCTGATCGCCCATGTGGCCATAATGCGGCACCTGATCGACCAGACTCCGTTGCAAAAGTGGATCGTCACGATATCCACGTGGGGACCGGCCCTACTGTACATTGCCATTGGGTTCCTGGACCGAGCAAATGCCGGGCTGGTCGTCGTCCTGATGACCATCAAGGAGGGATTTAGTGCCGGCTCCAGCATTGGAGGCACTATGAACACCATTGCCCTGGCGCCCAACCACTCAGCGGTCCTGCTGGGCATCATGAGTGTCTTGTCTGAGGTCTTTACGCCGCTAACTCCGCTCGTTACGGGTGTCATCGTTACGGATCCGGTAAGTACGTGAAGCTATAGCCTTTCAAATTTTCCATCTCCAATTTCCTTTCCGTAGACGAATCGTTCCCAGTGGCAGATTATATTCTGCCTGATCGCACTTGTATTCTTCCTCAGCAACTGGGTGTACATCATCTGGGGCTCGAGCGAGCTGCAGCCCTGGGATGCCGGTGATTTTCTGCATGTGTGCACTGCGGAATGTTCCGCAAGGGGAGATCACCACGACTCACCCGATCTATCCATTAGGGGAAAAATTATGCTCAGGGACCTGGCTCGCAGAGTAACGGAGGGCCTGGACAAGATGAACCCAGATCAGGCTGATCCGCAAAAGAATAGCAGACCTAAACTAAAGACCGAAGAAATGAATGATGACAATTAAAGATTAGCCACGTATTGATAGGCTTTTGATAAATTTGTATACGGAAATTGGAAGATGTTACTTTTGGAGAAACACTAAATAGTGATTGAGGACTCACTCCAAGGAAAGTGAACCACTGAACAAAAAACGAGAGAAAACGTTGTGCGCCGCGGCCCTTGCCGCATTTCTTTTCTGTCTTTCTTTTCAGCCGTTTATTCTCGCTCTCTTTCGCCAGAGTGCGATCACTGCACGAAGAAGAGTGTGTGTCAGAGAGAGAGAGAGAGAGAGAGAGAGAGAGAGAGAATGGGGGTAGCGTAGGAACTGCAATTTCATTCGTTCCTTCTGGCTATACTAATGGTCCGATTTGACCCAGATTCGCCAATCTGTTAGATTTGGTCATTCTATTTTTTTCTGCGTTTTTTGTTCACTTCCACCACAAAACTAATACACCCTTATACGCATTGAGTATCTGGTATAATTATAATAATTCTGAACACGATCAGATCGCTCACTGAAGCGACGTACTCTTTTTTGTGCACTCTTTCAAGAACAGCCGAATGCTACTTATCTGCCCATTCGATTATCCAATCAATTGGCTTGTGGGTTCTCCCCACAACAACACTTTTTATACCTAATGATGGCCACTAAGCTGCTTTTCACTAATTTAATCACTACTTTTTATCACAAAATTGCAGCAATTTCTATGTTACATAGTATACATATATACGCTTTTGTGTTTGAAATCGCAAGTTTATTGAGTTTGATCGGTTCGATTCGGTTGGGTTCAGGCCCGCCGACTGTTCGGCAGACTGGTTCCGCAATAACAAATCCCACAGCGGAGATGAGATCGCACAAATCGAGAGGGTGGTCTGTGTGGTGTCTGGGTTATATTACCAATGTTTGCGTTAGCGTGGCTTGTAAAACCAGTGGTAGCATGGTCTACAGAAGACACGTTAGCGGGCTGGGAATGCGGCAGGTAGCATCGCATCCAGTTATCGCGCCGCTTAATCAGCAGCGCGATAAAACGTATAAAAGAGAACAGCCCCAATCTCGATGTCGATGTCTAATTGCCGCCATAATCGCTGTTCGCTGGAGCAGAGCTTTAAATTAAACTCTCAGACGTATTTCAGCTATTGGCACGCGTAGACGCGAATGTTTTCTGTCAAATCCAGAGATTCGGGCCCAGAGATTTCGGAATATCTCTTCACACTTCCGTGTTCTGGATCGCTGTATGCACATATCTTGACAGCCAATTAAATGCAATGAACGCTGTCGCTGAGCAAAAAGGTGAATGAATTTGTTTTCCCAAAGTCCCAAGGCAACCAGAGTTTTTGTGATATATGTATACCAATTGGAAAAATGAAACAACTAATAAATAAAATTATTATAATAAGCGGATTGGTGCGAATTCAATGCGTATGCATGGCCCAATGCCCAACAGTAATAAATTCATTTTAAGTGTTTATAAAATCAAATGGAATTGCAAATTTACGGCGTATAATTAAATAAACTTTTAAAGAAAAAACCAAATACAACATGAAAAAAAATCAGTGATAAATCTTTTTATAACCGTACCAAAATTAGGAGAATCTATTACGTTAAAACGTTTCATTTAAAATATTCAGAATACATTTTTAAACGGATTTCATCAGCGAAAAATCTGCAAGTGAAATTAGTGAAAATTTCGGTAAAGAAAAAGTAGAATATCTCAATAATGTGTGCTTCAATCGGAGATTTGTGGACTACACAGATTTGGGACTCGGTTAAATTGAGCACCTCGGATTCCATATGATTTATGCCTCGACCCCCATGAAACCCCCACGCGGTCGGAAAAAGAGTTGGCCCCGCCAAACAAATCCCACACAGCAATGAAGTTTAGCAATTTATTGGCCAAAGAATATATATTTTTGTGCATGTTTACAGTGCGTTTCGCAAACTGAAAAATAGTTTATATTTTGCTTCTTTTTCGATTGCACTGGCAATCAGGTGTTTGGCCTTACAGCCATGACACGTACTGTTTGCATGACGCCCAGTACATGTGGGGTATACAAAAATGATAAATTGAGGTCGATAACCGACCAGCACGGACCCCGATGGCCATAGATTTTGAAACTCTTGACCAAGTTGATTTCCGCCCGTAGGTCCCCTCATCGGCATCCGCCACCTGCAGGCTGTGCTCCTTTTTCTGGCAATCGTCGCCAATTACATAGCGCGTCTGAACGTCAGTGTGGCCGTGGTGGCCATGACGGATGCCGCCACCACCAATACCGATTTTCCGGTGAGCTAAACGCGTTTGTGGCACGTTGCCAGGAGTAACACGTTTTTCCCTTGCAGGAGTACGACTGGACGGGGGCGCAGAAATCGTATGTGCTGTCTAGCTTCTACTGGGGCTATATTATCACCCAGTTTCCGGCCGGATTTCTGGTCAGACGCTTCGGGGCGAAGAGCGTGCTCTTCATTCCCACCTTCGCGACAGCAATCTTGAGTGCCCTGACGCCCTACTGCATCAGCTGGGGCGGCTGGAAGGCGTTCAGCGTGATCCGGGTGGTAGAGGGTCTGTTCCAGGGCCTGATCTTTCCCTGCATCCACGAGCACCTGGCCAAGTGGTCGCCGCCAGAAGACCGCAACCGACTGGGCGTGTTTGCCTACTCGGGAGCCGACTGCGGCTCGGTGTTGGCCATGGCCAGCAGTGGGCTGATTGCCAACAGCTCCATGGGCTGGCCGGGCATCTTTTACGTTTCCGCCGGGATCTGCGGAGTGTGGTGCCTGCTCTGGCTGATCCTCGGCTCGAACAACGCTCCCAGCTCGCATCTTATTGGGTCCAGGGAGCGGGACTACATTGAGCGCTCGATGAGGCGGCAGGACGGCTTCCACGCCCAGAAGATTCCCATACCGTGGCGCGCCATCTGGACCTCGGTGCCGTTCTATGCCCTGCTGATCGTGCGCAGTGCCCAGGGCTGGGCCAACTCCACGATGCAGCTGCAGACGCCGTCGTACATGCACGGCGTCCTGGAGATGGACATCAAGAGCAACGCCCTCTACTCGGCCCTGCCCTTCCTGGCCATGTGGTGCATGTCGTACGTGTATCTGGTGTTTGCCGACGTCGCCATGTCCCGCCAGTGGATGTCACTCACCACGCTACGCAAGTCCATTAACACGGTGTCGTACTGGGGCCCGGCAGCGGCTCTCATTGGCATCGGTTTCCTGGACAAGAGCCAGACGAGTCTGGCCATCACTCTGATGACCATCAATGCGGGCCTGAACGCCGGCTCCGGCATCGGCAGCATTCTGACCATCATCGACATGTCGCCCAATCACTCCGGCATGCTGATGGCCATTGTTAACGGCATTGGCAACATATTTCCGCTGCTCACCCCCCTGCTCGTGGGCGTGATTGTCACCGATATGGTGAGACCTAATCGTATTAGAGATTCCAGATTCCAGATTCCAACGACTTCGATTCCGCTTTTCAGGGCTCGCGCAGTCAGTGGCAAATTGTGTTCGCCATGACCGCCGTTGTGTTCTTCTTCGGCAACCTGGTGTACATCATTTGGGGCACCACCGACCAGCAGGCCTGGGATGCCGAGGACTACCTGCAGCCGAGCGACTCAGAGTGCATACGAAATGGCCATCAACTGGAGCAGAAGCCTGCCATGGATGGGGGCACAAAGACAGCATGATTAGCTGGCACTGGGTAGGGACTGTCGGGGCCCAACCGCCGCACGGGGCGTATGTGCAATGTATATGGAATGTCCAGCGAAAAGTTGATTTTCCATCGTTGATTAAACGCATTTTGGGAATTTTCTAGTTTCCAGTTTCCAGTTTCGAGCTTCCATTTTCCATTCTATTTTAATTAAAAATTCTCAAAACGTTCGTTTAGCTCTTGTATTTTAATTTCTTGTTTGTACGCATTTCTTTTCGGGCCGCGGAAATTTAATAGAAAATTCTTACTACTTCTTTGAATGAATTCGTTTTCTATTTGCGCTCGCATTTGCATGCGACCAGCAAGCCAAGGCAACAAGACAGGGCCCGGCTCCGGTTTAGCAATCCTTGTTCTGGCACCCCAGCCCATAGTCCTGCCGGTCGCCACCTCCTTCTCATTCTGGGCAGTCAGTCAACGCAGAGCGGCGCTGGCCAAATAACAAGGAAAAAAACTTTGCACACAAATCAGAAAAATGGACACTTGGTGGAATTTATGCACGAACGCGTGCGCACAGTACGTCGCATGCCCATATTCGGTCCATGGTCTTGCGGTGGAATTGTTTGCCACCAGGCAGGAGGCAGGAGGCAGGAGGCACCAGGAGGCGGAAGGCTGCAGGCCGGTGGCAGGGGGCAGAGCCCAAAGAGGCTTATGCCCAGCAAGTGGCTGGGGCGCGTTTTTCTGGCCCAGACAAAAACCAAAACCGAAACCAAAACGAAAATGTTTTTCAATTAAAAGCGTTGCGGAGCGAGCGCAAAAATTCATTTGAATTGCCCCATCCATGCCCCCCCCCCCCCCCATTTCTCTCTGCCCTGCCAGTCTCCGCTGCCCCGCCCCTTCCCGGGCAACGCATTTCCAATGACAAGTCATAAATGGGCACTACCAGAGATCCGGATAGATGTATGCGTGTGGCCACAGATGTAAAATGAAAAGGGGCAAAAGTTAAATCCCTTCGTAGCATACGTTGGAATGCCCACAGACATACCATGTACACTAGTTAAAGGATCAGATTATGCTGAAAAAGAGGTTGTGAATCATTTCAGGAGGGATTTTCATAAGGGAAAATTAAAAGCCCATTCGATAAGCTAATAAAGAGTTCCCTTCAAAAAAGTGACATTTATGCTTATGGGAATTCAATGGCTATAAGGCACTGCAATATCCTCTCCAGAATTGTCGGGGTTTGATGTTGCCCTTCATAAAAAACATATTTTACTCAGAGTCCCAAACAAATGGTATTCTTAAGGGCGCCGCACAGCTGGGGGACTCGAAGCGCGATCCCGAACCATAATGGCTGACTGTGATAAATTGAATGATTTGTTCATTGAGGGACTCTGCTCGAAAGTACTCTCTGTTCAGTATTAATGACGTGTCCGCAGTGGAGTTGCACATTACGTGCACTTCATTACGCCGGAAGGGCCAATGAACAAGGCAGGCCAGGCAGATGATGCAGCCTTTGTTGGTCAACCTCATCATTATGGTGCAACATGATGTCTGTATTATGGAGTCGTACTTGCTATTGGAAATAAATGATACCGATATTAGGGACTTGACTTCAACAATTAAATGGAGAAATGCATAAATTGCTGGCTTCTGTTGCGATGTAATGCGATGCAAGTGAGTTGATTGCATCTCTTGATATGGACTTCGAAGTTATAATTGAACCAGAGGCTGCTGGACGGCAAGCAGGATCGGCAACAATAGATGAAGTGTCTGACAGATTTCGACCATTTATTCATTGTCCGGTCGCAGCCGGACAGCGTGCACATCAAGTGCCGTCAAGCACAGCGATTGCTTGAAATTTAAATTATGCCTGACGCTGTCCTTTGAGGCGCAGCAGCCGGGTCTGCGCTCTCCGGGCACAACAATAGCTGGAAATCAACAGACACAAAGGAGACATTTGGCTCGTGGCCTACACAATATACGCAGGATCCAGGGCCTGGTCTTGGTGCGGCGAGGTCCTGTTGCAGCTCCGTCTCCTGCCGTGCTTTTGGGCACAATAAGTCAATGCCATGTGTGGTGAACGTTGCCGTTGCCGTTGCCCCTGCCTTTGGCGACCGAATAGCATTCATTCAGTTTTTGGTCCCATGCCGAGGACGCAGTGCACGCTTAATTATTATTGCATAAGCGCAGGCGCCAGACCCAATCCGTTGGCAGCTGTTGCTCGCCCCGTAATTATGGTCCGTGTCCGTGTCCGTGTCCGGGTCCTGGCTCTCTCTGCTGCTGGCATGCCATTGTCCAGGCCCTGGGCCGGGATCCGAGCACCGAAAATTTATGCATCGCTTTCTTTTGTGTGCGTCCAGCTCTCGAAGCAATTTCATGTTTATCAACTGCACTGAGTCATGTTTTTTTTTTCGCAACCTGCACATCAACGGAAACGCTTATGCAAATGGCGCAGGGGTATAGCCCGTAAAGCCCGTATAGACGACCGTATATGCCCCATTCAGTTGGAATAGATCAATATCTAATCAATGTGCTTAGCTCAGAATGATTACTACTGAATTACAGCTGCATTTTCAGCTATTTCTGTGGCTCCAAACGATGGCCTTTTGTATCGAAGAGACCGTGGTGTCTGTGTGAAAAACATGGTGTTTCCAAAGGGACATCTTCTGGCCTTTGAGATTTATTAATAGTCATTGCAAATGCTAATCCAATAGGAGCTTGGACGCTACTCCCCTTAGCTCCCCAATAATACTTGAGTATGGCTGTCCCGGCTCTGCCATAATCGCATCTGAAATTCTTTAGTGCCTTTCAAAGCACTCGGATATAGTAATAAACGTATACGTATGTATCTGTGGAGAGGCTAGAGCAGTAATCTTTAAATGTTATTTCCTCCGACAGCTCTCGAAATGCATATTTAAAAGGCATTTAATTCTTTATGTTGCAGCCTGCTTTAATCAGAGCCGTCTCTGACATCATTTTGTTGGCGTCCTCTGCATTTGCATATACATTTGAATTCAGCTCTCGTTGCTCGTTGCTCGTTGCAATTGTCTCTGTTGTACCGCTTTGACCTTGTTTGCTTCTGGCCTGGCCCGTGAGCCTGGAGCCTGGAGCACCCCCATATGCCTAAAATAAACGAATGCAGGGGGCCCCTGAACGAGGGAAACACTTTTGCTATTGTTAATGTTCTGACTGCAAATCCTGTCGACTTTTGCACTGTCGTTGTTGCCAGAGTGTAAGGGAGGATCATGGCCAGGCCGGGGCAGGGCACGGCTGGGGAGTGTGGAAAATTTTTAGAATTCATTGAATTTTAAAACATAACAATAAAGCACTCAAGATGTGCGATGTGCCAAAGCAAACCGAAGGTATGCCGAGCACATACTCAGCACCATCGCCATCGCCATGGAAATGCGAACACTCGCATACGTGTGGTGTATCTGCATCTGTGTCTGTGCCTGTGCCTGTGCGCTTGTGGTGTATCTGTGTGCGGGTGTTCGCTTTGAGGAGGTCTGCATTGCTCTTGGGGCAGGCAACGAGCTTGAAAATTGCGCGGAAAACTTTAGCGTTCCGCCGTTAAAAGGGAAATCACATTTGTAATGAATTGCAGCTGTTGCATAGAGTGTTGGTGCAACAGCCGCCTCCGCCGCCGCCAACAACAGAAAGCTGAAGGAATGCTTTGCTCAGATTTGCAATTCATTGGCGAATATGCAATTTTCATTCGCGGCCATAAATGCATTAACACAGCAACAGCGACAGCAACAGCGACAGCAATTTATCGAAGGAACCCCAATATCCACACGAGACAGGACCCAAATACGTTTACAGCAATAAACGTGTTGATTTATTGATTTTGCACGTCGCATAATTTACTTTACCTGCATGATGGAGGTGAAAAAAGGGAGAGAGAACGCCCCGCAGGCTTCCACAGAAGCGCTGGGTGGAGCACTGGCAGTACATCCAACGACAGGGACAGGGACAGGGACAACGACAACGACAACATCAACGCGCCAAACAAATAAAATCCTGGGCCCCTGTTTATTTCTCAGCTAGCACGAACCTGTGTTGCCTGCATTTTGTATCTTCCATTTTCCATTTCGTTTTATGCCCTTCCAGGCGGCACAATGGCATTGTGGAGAGGTGTGCCATGTTGGATCCACCACCATTCGTATCCGATTATGCGAATTACCTCCACTAATATCAGTCTTTAATCTGCTATGACAAGATAAACTTTTTGGATGTTTTACTACTCCGAACACAACTGATACGCCTTTTAGAATGAACGAGCATCGATCTTTATACTTCTAGTGTGGCCGTTTCTTCGGAACTTATTCCAGAGTGGCCGTACATTCATGGATTATGCGCTAATGGCTGATAGGGGCTCCTCCTTTAAGGGTATTGCAAGGTTTAACATTCAATGGTTGTATTTTTTTGCTGTATTTTTCTGTTGTTGTACATCTTGTTGTCAACTTTCAATGTTCGCTCGTCTCCGTCTCCCGTCTCCCGTTCCGTTCCGTTTTCGTTGCCTGTCTGCCTGATTGTCATCTCTCTACATCCACCTGTCTCGCTCTCTACTTCCCGGGCTTCATGTTTTCCTTTTTTCGTGTGCTGTTAAGCCGGAGTTGCCACTTTTTTGCACCTATCTATCTGATGGTACCAACAACAACAATAACAACAACAACAACAATGGCTGGAACAGGGCAGACGCCATGCCGTGCGCCATTTTCGAGCTGTTTCTTGTAACGGAAACGAAAGCGGTTTTCATATGCATGTGCGCTTGCACTAACACAAACAAACGAGTGGTGTATGAGAGTAACAGTGGGCTTGCCAGGGGGGGAGGGGGGAGGGGGGCTCCATCGTCCTCCCCTGCCGGCGACGACAATATGAAATGTGCGGCTGCGAATTGTGCAGATTTCCCGCTGGCCTCTACCGCTCGCTTTGCTCACCTTATGGGTCACACTCAAAGGCAAAAGTATGCAAACAGCTGCAGTTTAAACGCTTTCCGGATGTATGTATCTTCTCTTACAAAGGTCAGCATTTCATAGGGTGATATTTCAGCAAAATTGTGTATTTTGTTGAACTTCTACGCACTCAAAAGGTTGGCACACCAGAGATGTCGGATTTCTATTTCAAATTTCAGAGTATACTCTTACTGTTGGCACACTTCTGATTCGCACAGTTCGGCGGCGATGGGCACCCTCTGATCCCGATGATTGTTTATGTACTTTGA